AGAAGCGGCGCGCTGGTGCACGCCCGGGATCCGAACCCCGGGCCGCCAGCAGCAGAACGCACACACTTAACCGCTAAGCCACAGGGCCGGCCCAGAGAGGTCAAATATGATGAGGCCTCATAAGCATCCATTTTGTCCATTAAATTTATTTTATTTATTTATTTTTATTGAGATAACATTACATAAATTTCAGATATACATCATTGTATTTCGATTTCTGTGTAGATTACATCATGTTCACCACCCAAAGACTAATTACATATCCATCACCATACGCATGTGGGAATCATCCCTCTCGCCCTCCTCCCTCCCCTTTCCCCTCTGGTAACCACCAATCCAATCTCTGTCTCTATGTGTTTGTTTATTGTTGTTGTTATCTTATGTTTATGAGTGAGATCATTCAGTATATTTGTCCATTAAATTTATTTTTTTTTTTAATTTTTTTTTTTTTTTTTTAAAGATTTTATTTATTTTTTTTTTTCCCCCCAAAGCCCCAGTAGATAGTTGTATGTCATAGCTGCACATCCTTCTAGTTGCTGTATGTGGGACGCGGCCTCAGCATGGCCGGAGAACCGGTGAACCCGGGCCACCAGCAGCGGAGCGCGCGCACTTAACCTCTAAGCCACGGGGCCGGCCCTTGTCCATTAAATTTAGATACGGGAAGCCACATTGGCCTCAGAAACAGCGTGTGGCATGAGTGCGTGCGTGCATGTGTGTGTGTGTGTGTGTGTGTGTGTGTAGTGAGGTTGCAAAGTAATTGAGAGGCAAGAAAGTGGAGGAGCAAGTGTAGACAGGTCTTTTAAAAGGCTTGGCAGTAAAAGGGAGGAGATACAGGTGCTTTTCCAAATAAGCCAGATGTCGAAAAATCAGCTCTAGTGACTTACGCTTCATAAAATCACATGGGTAAACCTGAATATCAAGCATGTAAAATGAAAAGCAGATGAAAATTCATGAGTGGGGATGCTGGACAGATCCGTTTTTTGAAGCACCAGTGAATTCTGCAGTCGCCCCAAATGAAGATTTGAATGTAGTTTACTGATAAGTAAATAGTGTGCTGAGATCTTGTACCTCATAGGGGACGTAGGAGAGTCCAGAGACCTGTGGTGCAGAGGGAGGAATGGGGGCTTCACAGACCAGAGGGCAGATTCCAGCTCTGACCCCAGATCAACCACTTAACCTCTCTGGGCCTGTTTCCTGCTCTGAAAAATGGAGATCATTACCTATCTTGCAGGGTTGTAAGAATGCAAGGACAGAAATATCCAAAATCCTGGCATGGTGCCTGATGCTTAATAGATAATAAGAGTAGGCTGTTGTAATCTGGGCATCAGTAACTCTTAACCATTGGTGGTTGTCACCCCCTCATCAGCCCCAGGTCCCACTCCTGACCTTGGTGGGAGGGTGGTTTTGCTAGTCTAGTCCATTATGCATCTTTTTCCTGTTAGTGTTGAACCATGAATTCTGTCCTTAAATGTCTAAAAAGTACCTGAATTCTGATTGCAATAATTTTCCCCTTAAATGCTTTAAAGGGCTGTGTCTTCCAGGAAGTACCTGAAGGTACAAGGGAAACAAAGGTAGCTGGGAACATTGGCTAGTTTATTGGAGTAGAGGAGATTGTTTGTGTTCTCAGTAGCTGCGGCTGCCGTGGAAGGCTGGTTAAAAGATTCTTTCCACCTCTTTGCCAGCATGACTCATGGAGCCCATATGAGTGAAATAATAACAGTGATAAAAGCTCACATTTGTTGAACACTTAACTATGTGCCAGATGCTTTTATTTGAAGCATTACAATAACCTTATGAGGTTGATACTAATATTAACCTCATTTTATAGGTAAGAAACCTGAGTCTCAGAGAAGCCCCACTTTTACAAATGAGGAAACCAAATCTCAGAGAGGTTAAGTAATTGGCCTGTGGTCCTACAGGTAAGAAACAATAGAGCTGGGATTTGAGCATAGGTGATTTCACTCCAGAGCTGTGAGACTTTAGGATGGCAGATGATTTGAAAGATGTCAGAGCCAGAAGGGCCCTTGAAGTCCTGTGTACAGCTGCCTTTCTTGTACAGCCAGCACCTGGCATGCTAGAATAAGTATGGGCTTTGTAGTTAGCCACATCTGAGTTTGCCACTTACTAACTCTGGGTTCTTATACATGTGACTGTGCCTCATTTTCCTCATCTATAGAATAATGGTAATGATTCTCACAGGATCATTATGAGAGCCAAACAAAATTATATGAAGTGCATGGCCTATATCAGGCACTTGGTAAATAATAGCTGCTTTTTATTATAAGTATTATGGTTATAAGTTGTGGTATAATTTGTTTATAGTTGAGAAAAGCTGAGAATCAGAAAGGGGAAGGGATTTAGCCAAGGTCACATGAAGGCAGAGCCAGGAATCCAGCCCCATATCTTGGCTCCTGACCCATGCTCTTTCTGCTAGACCATGTGGAGAAAGGCCATTTTGCCATTAGAGCAGCCCTGGTGGTGAGACAGGGTGTCTGTGAGCCCCATGGTAGAAAGACAGATTGATTTTCATAACAGGTGTTCTCATTTGTTATTGCAAGCTGGAGGAAAGTGGCACCTTCCTGGAGATCTCTCAGTGAAAGGCATCCTTAATGAGGCCACTTAGCACAGTCAAGATGGAAAAGAGTAACACCAAATGTTACCTCTTTGTTCTGTCAATGTTTTATTTACTCAGCAGATAACTACTATGGACCAGGCTCAATGCTGGGACTGGGGGCACAGAGGGGAATAGGGAGGTTCCCCATCCCAAGGAGCACATAGTCACACAGCATGTGTCCCCTGAGCATTGAGGCCTCTGGGATTCTCATCAGGGCCAACCATCTGACCTCGTCCCAGCGATCCGTCCTCAGAAGGGCATTTAGACACACTGTCAAAGGTCCCTTCTTATTGGATAACTAAGCATCTTGACTTTTATGTGTGTTTCAGCCGGGAAGGGCTACCCCTGCAAGACGTGTAAGATAGTGCTGAACTCCATAGAACAGTACCAAGCTCATGTCAGCGGCTTCAAACACAAGAACCAGTGAGTAATCATCCTTTGAAATTCAAAAGTCTGCTGCAGGAGCTCAGGGCTCCTGAATCAGAACAAAACCATGTGCTCCTTGGATAAAATGGAACTCTGGAAGCCTTTTCTCAGTCAACAGAGGAGAAATCAGTTAACAGAAAGAAATGTCTCCTCTATAAGTTTTTCTCCCGTCTGCTTCTCCCCATTCTTTGGACCGCTGAGCTGAGGGTTTTGGTAGAGAAGCATAGACAATTTCCTTGGTGATCTCCTAAAACTACTTGGATTACTTGGATTTCCTGACTTTTAGCAGTCTGATTAGGGAAGCGTTTTTTTCCACTGACTTGAAGACCCAGTTCTTCCCTGCCATCAGTTTTGTGGCAAGAGCTCCCTCTACAGGCCAATACCAAATATGACCATGTTCTTTCGTTCATTCTTCAAATACTTATTGAACACCCTCTGAGTGGTCTCCAGGACAGACCCAGCCTGTCCCTGCTCTCATGACTTTACCTTCTTATAGGAGGAGACAAACAATAAGCAAGTAAACAACCAATAATTACAAATTATGATAAGTGCCTTGAGGGGAATTGGTAAACAGAGAGTCTTCTGTTCATGATAATGTTGAAAATGACTAGCATTCTTTGAGCCCTTGTTCTGTTGCTGGCCATATGACAAGCAAATTCTCTCAGGTAGTCCTCACAGCAACCCTGGGAAGAAGGGATTATTATTTTAATTTTACAGATACAGGCAACCACCATTCAGAGTGACCCTATGAGGCAGATCCATAATTCAGACAGGCTCACAGCATGCTCCTCCAGGACACCATGCTGACAAGGAGGTTGTGGCGCTGTGTGATACGAAGAGGCTGAGCCCCGCCGGGGGAGGGCTCACATGGTTCTTTCCTCTCAGAAGGGAACTGTGAAGTGTGGACAGTGTGTCACAACATAACCTTCTGAGGTAGAAATTATCGCATTTTACAGATGAGGAAACTGAGTTTCAGGCAGACAAGTCGGCTGAAGTGATTGCTTTGACTTTAGGGTTGGTTCTGCATTGCTCACAGAACCAAATGAATTAAAGGTGGTGGAAACACGGAGTGTTGGAGTCTAAAATGTCCTTGGTCCTCTCTGCTCTGCCTGAAGTCTCTTCTCCCACACTGCAGCAGATCTTCCTCTTTATTTGTAGCTATGTCTTTAATCAGGAGGACTCGTGAGGCTTCTCTTAGATATGGACGTGAGACAGGCCCCCGCAGCCCAGCCTGGAGCTCACTCTCGGGTCAGCATGCCTCCCTTGCAGCTTGCCTGGTGGCAGTTTCAGCAGACAGCCTGGAGCCAGCCAGAGCCCTGCCCTGGGGCTACCCAGACTTGAAGATGCTAGTGTTGTCTACTGTTTTCTTCCCATACTTCCCAACTGTGTGACCTTGGGTGAGTCAGTAAACCTCTCTGAGGCTCCAATTTCTTTTCTGTAAGGTTATAGCTACAATTTGTTGAACACCTAATTCAATCTCATTTAATTTGCAGCAGCAGCTCTGACTTAAGACCCCCCTTTTACAACCCAAGGAAACCTAATGTCAGGTAGATTAATGACTTACCCAAGATCACATAGTTACTTGGAGTTAGACCCAGGATTCAAACCTCTTTGACTCCAAATTTTGCTCTGCCACTTCCAAATGGAGTTCGTTATCCTCACCTTATAGAATGACGTGAGAGTTAGAGATAATATATGTGAAGTGCTAGTACCAATAAAAGGAGCTATGAGAGATAAGCTTTCATTCATTCCACAAATATTTATTAAGCACCTATTATGTGCCAGGCCCTTTTTTGGGCACTGGGGCTACAGTAGAAACCAAGACTAATGCTGTTCCCTGATCCTTTGAATCCCCCTCTGGTGATATAATCAGATCCTAAACAAATCTATAAACAAATAAAACAATATCAGATGGTGCTAGGTGCCCAGAGAGTGGGATAGAGAGTGACAGGAGAGCCACTTTAGACTTGATGTGAGGGGGAGAATGGTCATTCTGTATAATCCAGGTCATGTAGGGCCCTGTAGGCAGAATAAATGGTTTGGTATAGCAGAAAGACATGAGCTGCAGCCCTGAATCTACCACACTTAAAAAAAGTTTACTATGGGTGGGTACTTACACTTTCTGAACTTAAGTTTCCTCGTATGTAAAATGGGGGTGCTGTTCCCCCCCTTGCACAATTGCCATGAGGATGAAATAGGATGCTGGAAGCAAAGCACTCAACATTGTGCCTAACTGGCAGTGGCCCTAAATAAAGGAGAGCTGCCCTGCTTATAACTTCAAGGCCCTGGAAGAGCTGTACTAGCATTAGCATAAGCTTCCTGGAGCACCATCACAACCACCACAAACTAACTTTGTGCCTTTGTTCTTTCTCAAATTACAGGTCACCAAAAACAATGGCATCACCCCTGAGCCAGATTCCAGTGCAAAGGCAACCCATTCAGAAAGACTCAGCCACATTGGAAGACTAGAGGTGTTTCTGTCCAGCACTCCAGGTTGAGCCAGCCATGAGCCACTTTCCTGTGACCGTGGTCAGCCCTTGGCTCCCTCTTCCTCCTTTCTTACATCTGGAGAATACAGAGGCCTGGGGCAGGAATGGGCCACAGACAGCCTCTGATTGGTCCAGGCAAATCCACCCCTGCTCCTCCCCTTTAGAATGGGCCCTGCAGGTCAGGACAAGGGAAGCACAGATCTTGAGAGGACTTGGGATCTCAAGTGGTAGTTTGGAGGATGGCCTTTCCCCTTCCCTAGCCCCTGTGGGCCATATGTCATGAGGCCCCAGGCCTGTCTTTTCCTCTGCAGGTCAGTTTTGGACCAGTCCCTGCAGCTAAAGAACCGAGCTCTCCCTAGGCTCTAGGCATCTCCAGTGAAACCTGGAACTTTCATGCCAGACCTTAGCCTAGGCAAGAAAGGGCAGATGGAAGTGGCCACTGCAGGGAAGCTAATGTGACACCTCCCAGAAAGTGTGGGCTTTTCTGACCCTGGAACCAGATGCTGGCCAGTTGTATAGATTTCTGTTCACTGTGAAGTCTCCTTCTGGAGCAATGACACAGTCCTGGCAGAGCATTGCTGTCCCTCCTGCCCCTTTTCCACTGTTTCTGAATGGTGCTAAGGATCTGCAGCAGCTGAGGCCAAGCAAGAGCTGGAGGAGGCCTCAGTACCTAGTGGGATCCTGCTCCAATGGGTGTCTCTCCCCACCTCCATCAGAGGTGTTCTGACCCAGGGTCATGTGGGAAAGTCCCCACGTACAGGTTTCCTTGATGATTCTGTGCCCTTAAAGGCAAACTGCCTTGTGCCAGCCAGCTCAGAGATTCATTGCTGCCCTTCGGCCCTACTAGCCGTCTCCTTCCCCTTGTGCAGCAGACTACCTGCCCAGGTTGCTGTGGTGCTAGCCCTCCCCATCATCCACCAGGAGATTCCTGGGTACCAGGGAGCGGAATGAGGCCCCCAGGGAAAGAAAGGAGAGCTGGTACAGTGAGGAAACAGATATTCCCCAGGCCCCAAACCTAGCTTTCTCCAACTCTGCTGTGTTTTATGGCCTGGGAGTTCACTGGGAGTGGATTTTTCCTTGTAACTTTCAAACAGGAATTCCGGGGAGTGGCACCATCAGAGGTACCTCTTCACTGGGTCAGAGAAGCCACTAGCTGCTCTCATGGCCTTCTCCCCCCTCCCTATCCTTTCGCCTGTGAAATGCCTTTACGTATCGTGTGTGGTTGTGTGGGTGTGTGCTTTTGCTCTCTCTCAGTCACTGAAGCATTTAAATAAAGAATTTCTCTCATGAGCCAAACTGCAACTTAACAGACCTGGGATTTGGGGCCATATTGCTATTGGATCTAGTATGTGTGTCTTGACCCCTCACCCTACTCAGACTCCCAGGGCCCTAAATACTGATCTTAGGACTTAGGACAGAGACAGACATCCAAACTGCTTGGCAACCCTGTGGAAGTCTTCCCAGGTGCCCTAAAGTCAATACTACTTCATCTGCTTATCCACCTCCCCCTGTCACAGAGGGCCTCATGGAGGCCTTTAGAAGGTTTAAGTTGGGAATCAACTTTGTTTGAGTGGATCATTCTGGCTGCTATGTGGAGAAGGAATGTAGGAGATCAGGAAAAGAAACAGAGAGGGAAGCCAAAATGGAGACTGTATCCAACATGGCTCTCCCCAGGTCAACTCCTTCGGGGCAGAGACCTAGCCTCATTCGTTTCTACTTTCCTAATGTCCAAAGTGGTATGTCATGAAGTGTGTGTTGAATGACTGAATATGGGTGCATAGGAAGAGATGGCTTTTTCCTGCTCAGCTCTTACACAGCGATAGGTTTGTTCCATGAGACTTATAAGCCTAGTGATTCTTAGAAAAACCTCTTCTATGACCCAGAAATGAGCTAGGAAAGGGTGAGTGATGGCCTCAGGAGCCCTTTGTTTCAGACAGCCAGGTCTGAGGAAGGTGCCTAGGCAACCTCAGCTCCCATTCTTCCCTCAGCAAGCTGTTCTGTGGTACCTCCTCTTGGCCAGCTGGAAAGGCCCTACAATGGCCATCAGGCTGGGTTCTCAGCTGTTAGCTTCCAAAACCCAGACTGCCTCCAAAATTTCTCCCGACTCCTTCTACCGCACCCAGGATGTTAGAATTAGCCCCATCTGTGAGGCAAGGAAGTGAAGGGCAGAGGGGTGGGTGGGCTGCCAAACCATGAGCCCTTGGCTTGCGAGACTTCTTAGTCTGAATTCAGGAGTCCCTGATAGCTGTGTGTCCAGCCCTATTGGTGTGGGGACACAGGGATGAACACTTTCTTGCCCTTAGGCAGTTCACACACTGTTAAAGATCATTATGGTGATGGTCACAGTACAGGGTGCTGTGGGAACACTCAGGATGCAGGCCCTAATTCGGCCAAGGGTATGAGAAAGCTGGAGAAGTTGCGAAATGAGCATTTGATCTGCGTAACAACCTTCTGAGCTAGGTGATGATATTCCATTTTATAGAGAAGGAACAAGGCTCAGAGAGGTGCAGTGATTTGCCCAAGCTCTTGACACTAAGAAGTGGCAAAATGGAGAGTGGAATCCAGTTCTCTAGATTCCTAGTCTAGAACCCTTTCCAAATAAGGACTAGCATCCTTCCCTCATCCATCTGGGTGACCCTGGGCCTGCCTCACCCATCTCCTGGCAGCGCTGTGGACCCACAGAGCAAGCAGCCACTCAGGGCAGGGGCAGCAGCAGCAGCCGTCACAAAACAGATCGGACAAAGCTCAATGGTTATTTTATATCCCAAGCCCCCCGTACCTCTCATAATTTTACCCAAGATTCCCAGTGTATTAGACTCTAGTTATAACTAAGAAACTTAAATCAAAGTGGTTAGCTAAAAAGAAATTTATCGAGCCAGCCCTGATGGCCTAGCTGTTAAAATTCGGCGCACTCTGCCTTGGTGACCTGGGTTCGGTTCCCGGGTGTGGAACCACACCACTCGTCTGTCGGTAGCCATGCTGTGGTGGCGGCTCACATAGAAGAACTAGAAGGACCTACAACTAGAATATACAACTAGGTACTAGGGCTTTGGGGAAGGGAAAAAAAAAAAGATTGGCAATAGATGTTAGCTCAGAGCAAATCTTTCCCAGCAAAAAAAAAAAAAGAAATTTATTGATTCACCTAATGAAAAATCCCAGTACAGGGATGGCTAGATCCAGGTTCTGACACAGTGTCATCAGGAAGAATTTAATCTTGCTCTACTTTCCTCTGTGTGGCCTCTCTCCAGACTGCAGACTCGCTCCAGAAGGAAACAAGATGGCCACTGGCAGCACCAGGCTTATATCCTGATATATTGGCAACTGCAGTGGAAAGAACATCTTTTTCTACTAGTTTCAACAAAAAATTCTGGGACTGACTCATCCAGCTTGGTCCTGTTCCCTTCTCTAAGCCAATCACTGTGGCTAGGAAATGGTACTCTGATTTGGGGCCTGGGAAGGAATGAGCTCCACCTAAAACACAGAGAGAGAGAGAGAGAGATGTCCCTGAAAGAAGGAAGTGTGGGCTCCTTCCGGACTAAGGGAGAAGAATGGATGTGGGTAGGCAAAAATAACTGTTGTCAACCATACCCAGAAATTCTTTATTTAACCATTTCTTTATTTTTCCCTAACTTTTTGAGATACAACATACATTTAGTAATATGTGCAAATTTTGAGAGTTCAGTTTGATGAATCCTCACATGTCTACACATCTGGACAGTCAGTCTCCAGATCAAGATACAGAACATTGTCAGCTCCCCAGAAGGTTCCCTTGTTCCACTTCCTAGTCAGTATCCCTGAGAAGTAAACACTATTTTGACTTCTATCACCATAGATTAGTTTTGCTTGCTCTTGAATTTTATAAAAATGGACTCAAACATACATTCTCTTGTGCTCAATATTATGTCTGTGAGATTCATCCATGTTATTGTGTGTATCAGAAGTTCAATTTTTTCCTTCTCTGTAGTAGTACATTATATTCTACTATTGATGGACAATTGGGTTGTTTCTAGTTTTGAACTATTATAAATAAATCTGTTGTGAAAAATTTTTTATGTGTCATTTGGCATGCATGTCCACACATATACCCAGGAGTGGAATTGCCACATCATAGGGTAGGTGTATGCTTAGCTTGTCTAGATACTACCATAATGGTTTTCCAAAGTGGTTCTACCAACTACATTCTCACCTGCAATGTAAGAGAGTTCCAGTTGCTCCACATCCTTGTCAGCACTTGGTATTGTCAGTCTTTCTAATTTTGGCCATTCTGATGGCACTCAGGAATTTGAACCCAAGGGTCCTGACTTCATATCAGGGCCCCTCTTTCTGTGAGCACCCCTGAGATCAGGTTTGAATTTCTCTAGCCTGGAATGGTCTCAGATGTCAGTGCCCAGGACCCGTAATACACAATCCAGCAGGTAAACACCAGGGGGAGCGCCTGCCTGTGGCTCTGGTGGCCAAGGAAGGTCTCATGGAGGGAGAGGCGTCAGCCCTGGAGAGGCAGTCTGGTGTAGAACTCAGGCTCTGAATTGGGCAGCCAGGGCAGATCCCAGCTCTGCCATTGCTAGGCTGTGTGATCTTAGTTAGTTGACCTGTGCCTCAGGGTGAAGCATTAGTACCTACCTTACAGGGTTATTTTGGGAATTAAAAGAATAGATAACATATGACACAATTACAGTGCCTGATACATGAGAGATGCTATGTAAATGGTGACTGCTGTTGTTTCTGTTATCAGCCTGAAATAAGCTCTGGGGCTCCCTGGGGAGGTGAGTCCACAGCAGAGGATTCTGGCACAGCCCCCTGTATTAACACTCAGTGAGTTATAAAATGCTAGAAACAAATCAATCTGATGGAGGGGGAAGAGGGGAGGCAACATGTTGGCCAAGGTGGTTCTTCCCTGGGCTCCAGCAAGAAGTCACCTTCCACTGCTAGGGAACCTCTGCTAGGGAACCTTATTGTCTGCAGCCAATGACACCTGAGGAGAAGACGAAATGGAATCATGCAGTAAAGCTCTTAGCCCAGGGCTGGATGCAAAGCAAGTGTTGGGATGTAACAGCCCCTCAGTGCAGACACAGAGCTGTGTATGTATCCATATAGCAGCTGTGAGGCATGTCATGGGGGACACTGGCCTGGAATTCAGGGTCCCTGGGCGTTGGTCTGAGCCCTGTCACCAGCTTCATGTGACCTGAGGCCTTGATATTTTCTGTGAAGTAGAAGTTGGAAAAAATCACTGTTCCCCAGAGTCCTGAAGAGGTGGTGATGGGCAGTTAGGAGTTCTTCCCAAAGAAGGTAGAGAAGAAAGCTCTTCCCTCTCGGCAGCCCCTGCCAGATGAAGTGCGCACCCCTAACCAGACCTTCTGATTGGCAGTCACTAGTGTCAAATACAGTAGGAAAACTCCCTCTGACCATGTGGCTATCTAACAGCCACACCTACTCTACCCTGTGCCAAGCCCACATTGCAGAGAAAGCAGTCTCGTCCCTGCTCTGGCACTCCCAGGCTCGCTGTCCTCCACCAATGCTGCTGCATCTGTCCAGGAGCTTCAAAATGCGCAAGAAACCTTATGGTTCTGTAAGTGGGTCAACTCTAGTGCAATAACCCCTCTAGCCACTAGGTGGAGGACGCTCCTTTTTTGCTAGGCAAAATAAACCAGCACTGGGACCTTACTGTTTGATTTGATGCCCGAAAGAATAGGATGACTTCCTGAGCCCTATATTTGATAGTTCATTTAGCCCTCAAGACAACTTGAAAAGGCTCAGTTCACAGGAGAGACTCAGAGGCAAAGTCGCGCAGAGCTTACGCAACCAAGAAGTAGCCAGGAGAGATTCGACTCACATGCTCCCAAGTCTTTCTTAGCACACCTGCTATCTCTACTTCCAAAGGTGGGCTCCCCCTTCAGGAGAACACTTCTGTTTGAGGGCTGATTTAGTCGCCTGTCTGGGAGCACACCTGATGTCTGGCCTGTTCATCAGCCTTTCTTTTACTCTTTTCCCTTGGGTAACATCTCTGCTCCATTTTTAGACCCTGTGGTTCTGAGAGACTGACCCCTCCCCCTGGCTCTAGGGGTGAACCTGTGACCCAGGCCTGGGCAATCAGAATCATAAGTCTGGAGCTGTTAGTAGCTAACTTTGCTAAAACATAGGGACAATCTACCTGAGAATTAAGGCAACACAGAGGAAAACCGAGCTGAGAGATGAGAAAAGACTGATTTCTGATGAGTACCTGGATCCAACCATGCTGAAGCTAATACTCTCAGGACTTTTTAGTTTTGAGTTAACAAATTCCCTTTTTCCTTAAGTCAGTTTAAGTTGGGTTTCTATCACTTACAACCAAAAGTTCTGCCTAATACATGCTCCACCTCCCCTTATCAACCTGGAGCCCTGCACTCATCCTGAGAAGATCGCTGACCCCAAGGCTGAAGTGGCTGCCCTTCCATGCTCCCAGATGCCCTGTGCCCCTCCAGCATTGCCCTGAATGTTCTGTGTTATGATCTGTTTAATTCCCTGTCTCTTCTTTTAGATTAGAAACTCTTTGAGGGCAGGAACTGAGTCTTATTCATCATACTGAGTCCCTGGTGCCCAGCATAGGACTGTGATTGTTTTAGTAACTGCTTGGGATTAAGTAAATTAATGGATAAATGAATAAAGGTGGGTATAGGCTAGTAGAGACCATTGGTGGGATTTCACAGAAAGATTTCTTGAAGGACCTGAGCCTTTAGTGGTTATCTAGGTCAAAGGAACCAGGTCACTGGGGTGGGAGGAGAGTTAGTGAGGGGTTGTGGGGTGCAGTAG